GGCTCCCTGCTCCGCGGGGAGTCTGCGTCTCCCTCTGACCCTCCCCCTTCTCATGTGCTCTCTCTCATTCTCTCTCTCTCAAAAAAAAAAAAAAAAATTTTAAAAAAAAAAAAAAAAAACAAGTATTAGGTCTCAGCTGGGCCAGAGGCCACTCCCACCCACAGCAGTCACGGCCCGGCCACAAAGAGGGTCCCTGCAGGCCACAAAGGGGATTACGGAGGACTGCACCTCTGAGCCCCACAGGACATCTCCTACATAAGGCCACTCCGTCAAGACCAGGAGACGAAGGTGAACTCCCTAACAGAAAAATAAAGACAGTCAAAATAAGGAGACAGAAGAACACATTCTAAATGAAAGAACAAGACAGATCCTCAGAAAAACAATTAAATAAAACAAAGATGAGCAATATACCCCATAAACAGTTCAAAGTAATGGTCATAAAGATGCTCACCAAACTTGGGAGAAGAATGGATGCACGTAAGTCTTCAACAAAGAGACAAAAATCTCTCTACAATAAGAAAGTACCAAGCAGAGCAGAAGAATACAACAAACAAAAAATACACTATAGGGAATAAACAGATTAGATGATACAGAAGAAGAGATCAGCCATCTGAAAGGGTAGAAATCACCCAAAATCAACATCAAAAGAAAAAAATTTTTTGGATGAGGACAGTTATTATTTGTTGCCCCTCTGGGGCAACAAAGCATAATAAGAAAACTTGTATGAAGAAATAATTACAACGACTGCAATAGCCAAACTATGGAAAGAGCCCAGATGTCCACTGACAGATGAATGGATAAAGATGTGGTATATATATATACACAGCGAAATACTACTCAGCCATCAAAAGAATTAAATCTTGCCATCTGCAATGGTATGGATGGAACTAGAGGGTATTATGCTAAGCGAAGTCAGTCAGAGAAAGACAAATACCATATGATTTCACTCATATGTGGAATTTAAGAAACAAAACAGATGAACATAGGGGAAAGGAAACAGGGAGACAAACCATAAGAGACACCAAACTCTAGGAAACAAACAGGGTTGCTGGAGGGGAGGTGGGTGGGGGGGATGGGGTAATTGGGTGACGGGCATTAAGGAGGGCACTTGTGATGAGCACTGGGTGTTATATGCACCTGATAAATCACTAAATTTTACCCCTGAAATTAAAAAAAAAAAAAAAAGGAATAGAGCTTTTTAAAAATAATTTTTATTTTAAAACAAAACAAAAAATAGCTGAGAACTTCCTTAACACGGGGAAGAAAACAGACATCAGGTCCAGGAATCAAAAAAAGCCCCAAACAAATTTAACCCAAAGATCCATACCAAGACATATTATAGTTAAACTGTCAAAAATTAAAGATAAAGTGAATCTTAAAAGCAGCAAGAGAAAAACAACTAGTTACATATAAGGGAATCCCCACAGGATTATCAGCTGGGTTTTTGTGGGGGTTTTTTTGGAAATCTCTTTCCTCACCTCTGTAACAACATCTAATTTTTAAGGTGGTTTTATTTTATATCATTTCTGTACAGATCTTTGCACTCTGGTTTAGATGAAAACTATATAACCTCAACTATAAAATAACATTGGGATGTTATTAATTATATAAATCAATTTTATTTTATTTTTTTTTAAGATTTTATTTGTCAGAGAGCAAGAGCGCACAAGCAGGGGGAGCGGGAGAGGGAGAGGGAGAAGC